ATTGCCTTTGAGGCGATGCAATCAGCTGGTTTTCCTTAGATAGAAAACTTTGAATCAATCTGACTGGATGATCTGGTGAACTGGAAAGTGCCTTGAGATGACATGTTGTGAATTGGCGTCATAATTCTGAGATTAAAGTCATAATTCTGACTTTTTTCCCATACTAAACTGAAATAAAATTTAAAAATCAGTTAACTTTTTTTTTTTTTCAGTGGCCCTCATCCTCTTCCGTATGAGGCTGATCCATTTTTCCCGATTAATTTGATGATAAAATCGCAAAACATCAGATTTTTTTTTTTTTTGGCAGATCTGTTGCGGGTCGACAGATGCGCTTAAAAACACATTTTAATGCGTCAGTCAGTTTGAAACAGTTCCTGTATCGGTCACGTGACGTTCTCGAAATGATTGCTGTTAGAGCTCAACACATGCTCTGAGACGTCGTGCTGCTGGACCAATCACTATTCAGCACGTTGGTGAAGATAATAAAGGAAAATAATCTAAAAGAAAAACAATAAATGTTTAAATCAGCAGGAGAATCGACAGGTGAGACGGTGCGAAAATGAGCCTCCGCCTCAGAAACAGAACTTTCACAGCAGATCCAGTCAAATAAGGTCATTTACAACTAAAAACGTCAAAAATATTTATATAATCAGCAACTCAGCATCTGAGACTTCCGAAGCTAAAATCCATCTGAAGCGTAAACATGAGGCCTTTGGTTTTTCTAAGTCCTACTTTCAGAACCATAAACATCTTTTAAAACGGATTTATTTGTTCCGTCTGGAGCAGCTTCTCTGGTCTCTGAGCGCCGCTCAGCCTCCTCATAAATAATGATCAACCATTTGCAGACGATGCTGCGGTTTAAATACATCACTGATCTTTTTGTTAGATGTTGCAGCTTATTTAGTTAAATCCTAACTGAGGATTTAACTCCCATATCAACACAGACGCCTTCTTAGGTTATCTGAGGTCTCAGTGACTGAAATAAGTGGTTTTCATGTTTTATTTGAACAGATAACTTAAAATGAAGAAAAGCTTCATATTTTCCATACATTTGCTGTAATTTTCACCCCCTTTAAAATAAAGACTTTAAATACTTCCCTTTTTCTGCACCTAAAACACCTGGGAAACCTGACTGAATTAATAATTTGCTGTTCAAACAAAATGTACTTCAAAACAAATAAGACTAAAATATTAAAGTTATAAATTTGACTTAAAAAAATACAGGTTTTTTATATTTAATCAGTTAAATTCCAACCTGACGGTCTGCTGAGGTTACTAAGAATCCTTTGAACATATCAGGTTTTTCTTTTTAATCCGTTTAATACAGATCAAAAAAAAAAAAAGATTCAGCAAATCCTACGAAAAATAAATATCTAGTAAATTATCTGAAGGAGAAATGAGTTGAAAAGTGAATAAATATCTTATAATAGATCTAAAATAATTGCTGTAAAGGGAACTATTTTTACATTTTCCTCCACAGATCAGAATCAGATTTAATGCTAAATAGGTTTGAATTTAAAAAGAATTTCACTTGGTGTTGATGCTGCAGACTAATTATATATACAGAATACAGAATCTATAGCTATATACAATATAAAACATACAATATATGATATGCAATAGATAATATATAGCTATGTATTATGAGCAAAGTAATGCAGGATGTCTTGGGAGGCTATGTTGCTGCGTTGCAGCTTCTATATAAAGGCGTCTGCAGCAGATGCTCAGATATTAAGGGGTTAACTCCGTCCTCAGAGATGCATCTGCTCGACGTTAGACTCAGCATCTGTGTGAGCAGCGGTGCAGACATTTAAATCTGCCCTGAGGAGCGATCCTGGAGGGTTACCTCCAGAATAAAGCGGCTGAGAGGTCGCAGCGACGTGAGGGAGCAACAGGTGGTTCATCCAGCTGGTTAATGGATGCAGGCTAAAGATAAACCTCATTATTTATAGTTTAGATGCAGACATTTTACTCTGCCCTGAGCTGTGACCTGTTAGTCCACCGGTTCTCTGCTTCAGAGCAGCTTTAAAAACACAAAGAGGAAGAAATGTGAAGCTGCTTCCTAGACTGGAAGTTTGATTCTAAATCCAACAGAAAATAAAGAAATGATGTGATTATTATTCTCTCTGATGTTTAGAAAGATGTTACTTTTTTCTCTCTCTCAGTATCTCTACATAGAATTTGAAATGTTTGTCTTTTCTTTTTCTCTCCCTGTTTTCTGTAAGCAAATATATTCGGATTATTCTGATCTAGGAGGGAAGAAAGACTCTAAAAAGTTTGACTTCAGCCTAAATCCTTTTGTTCAGTCCATAAATAACAATGGAAAAACTAAAACATGTTTTAGTTTTTTCTGATGCCCACAATCAAACTGAACTAAACGTTGATAAATGTATCTATTTTCTTTTACTGAAAAGGAGAGAAATGCATTTTAATTAAGTTGTCATTTTAGATGTGCTTAAAGACTATTGGGAAAACATTAAAACTGTTTATTAATTTGACCAGCTGGCCACCAAACAGAGCCAGGGAAACCCTGATAAAAATGTTAATCTAAATAAGTCAATTTTTTATTAAAATAAGTGCATTTTGTCTTGGATTGAGGAGGTTATTGAGACACTTTGCCAATGGAAAAAGACAATTTACATTTAAAACAAGAAAACCCAATTGCATTGTCTTATTTAAAGTGCATATTATCTAATTATCGTATTTTAAGAGTGAAAAAATTAATCCCATTGGCAAATCATCTTATCTACTCATATTAGGGGTAACTACAGTTTATTTACCCGTACAGATCGTTTTTCCAGTGAATCTCTGGCTTAGTGATTGATACTCTAAATGACATATGGAGCGTTTAATTGTGAGTATGCCTTGCAGTGGATGAAGCAAAGAGATTAGATCCTGCATCTGCTATATTTTTTCTTCTTACTTCCTAAAGTAGAAACTTCCATATGATCTCCATATCGTATTTAAAGCTTTAAGCATTTTATTTTGGTCTTCACTGGTTTGGTTTAACCAGATTTAAGGCTAATGTAGCAAAACATTCAGAGTTTGCAGCTAACAGTTCTTTCAGCATTAGCTTGTTGATGCTAGTGCTACATTTTCTTGTTCTCCAACGTATTTTTTTTTATTTTATTTTCAATAAAACCAAAAAGATTGAAACAATAGAGACTCTGTTGATCCATCTGAGGCTTCAGTGAAGTAAAATGCTGCCTAGCTGAAGCCAAACCTGCAGTAAACACAAGGATCACTACTAGCAACAAAGGAACGGTGTCATATTTAGAGGAAAATTAAGTGTTAAAATACCGGCTTATGCTGAAAATATTTTCACTTGATTGAAGCAGTAAAGTTCAGGAATTTGCCAATGGAATAAAATGATTTATATATAGAATAATTCATTAAAAAACATCATAAAATCATTTCTAGTGCGTAATATTTATATTATTCCATTGGCAGATCATAATTACCTGCCCAGATTAAGAGCAAATGCAGAAATTTTAAGACTTTTTAAATCAGTTTTTGTCATATAACTATAAGAAAAATACTTAAATAATTAATTTAACCTTTGCATCTGCTTAAAGGTATAGAGGACAATCTTTTATTTTCAGGTGGATCATCTTAATAATTGGTCCCCCTTACTGCCAATCATTCTGGTGATGTGTTTACGTAAGGCCGTCCTACTTGCTCGTCCCGTTAGCTAGATTTTACTGCGCATTTTCAGGCGTATATCTGTGGTGAGCTACAGTTTCAGACAGTCGTGGAAGCTCACCTTTCTCACCGCGGTTCTTTGAAAATGGCCGAGGGTCGTTAGAGAAAAAGTGTATACGAAGTGCATGAGAATATTTTATTGAAATGAAAATCTGAGTCTGACCCCCTGCTGGAACACTGAGTGGCCACTGTCCCCTCACCACTGCCTGCCTGATGATGGCATCATGCTGGGTGAGCTTTGATTATGTCACCAGTGTGACGGAAATCAGGGTTGTAAACAATGGAGAGCAACATGGACAGGAGCCAGAGGGTAGACGGTGTTCTTTATTGATTCAATCTATTGTCAGTCCTAATCTATCTCACCGGAGCTGCTCCATGTTTTTTTTTTTTTTTTTTTTTTTTAAGTAAACAGAGTTGTTTTAGCTTGCTAGCTCACATCTGGTGCGGTGTGTTGACATCCATACGTTGCGTTCAATCGTACCAAGTAATTTAGCAGATGTTCCTTCTATATGCCAATCAGAGCCGAGATGATCTTAAAGCGGGTCGCTTGCTGAGACGTTTGACCAGGGTAGACACACGCTGTTCCCACTGCCACTAAAAGCCGATTGTTAGCCGGTTTAAACAGGTTTTTCGTCCGCTGGGAAAAGGACATTGTTCTCCCGTCCCATTTGAGTTTAACTGACCCGTGTCTGGAAAAAACAACGAAAATCAAGGAAATACTCCAAGAACTGGAGCAAGCAGAAGGGTATTCCAAAAAAAGCAAAATTAAAAACAATCCATTGGACTTTGTTTCCAAGTTTGAAGATGTTTTGCTTCCCATCCAGGAAGCTTTTGCAATTCAAAATGTCAGAAATAGCGTTGAGTTTGAGGTTTTATATTTTAGAATGACTGTTTTTTAGAATGACTGGATGACTGAGAACCTTCACCAGTGTAAGCAGATAGGTAGTTCAGACTATTTATTTGTTCACCACCAATAACTACTCAACACTTTCTATAGATGAAATATAAGGTAAAATAGAACTGATTCTGGTTAGAAATAAAATAAAATAAAAATTAGACACTTTTTACACATGGAAATCATACGCCCCCTTCTATTGTCGCCCTGGGCAACTACCCAGAAAATTAAAAACCCTGACAGGGACTAAAAATACTCCATTTAATCATTAAAACTGACCTTTTATGAATGTTTTTAATCAGTGTGATGTCCAACATGAGCGGCTGAGTGGCGTCATGTTTTCAAAATAAACCCATGAGTTTAAATCAGCAGATGACTAAAACAGAAACTAGTTTAGAATGTAGGCTGGCTCCTGGAAAAGGTCCCTGCAGTGTTTACTGGAGTCAATATGTGAGAAAGCAATAATGCAAGAGGAAACCACTGGATGCACACCAACAGTCCCAGCTTAGAATCATCATCTTTGCATAAGTTCAAATGAAAATATTTGTGACTGTAATAAATTTGATATTAAATGTTCCCAAACAGGATTAAAATCAGAACCACTCAGGTTTATAAAATTCTCTCTCCTGAGGGGGGAAATAATAAAGAAAAACTGACTGTAATCAACACCTTAGCTCAGAGTGAAAAATGGCCCCTGAAGGATGGCAGCAGCAGCAGCAGGACCAAAATGTCCCCCCATGCAGGATGACCCCGCTGCCCGCCTGCTCCAGCTCCAGGTAGGGCCCCTCACTGCCGCAGGACCCGGCGGTGGTCCATGAGGGGCTCCTCACCGGGCCAAGTTCGCCCTGCATGCTGCAGTGCTGCACACGCGCGCGCACACGCACCCCCCGCGAGCCTCTGGAGCCTCGTAAACATGACGGCCGACGGGCCGTGAACGCACCACGGGCACACAGGCCAAACAAAGGCCACAAACAGGCTCCGCTTTCACGCCACGCGACACGGAGCGATTTAAAGGCCCGCACGGGGACAACGGTGTCGGTATCCAGGGTTACCGGGGCCGCACGCGGCCCCTTCAGCTGCCCTCACCCCCCCTTCACCACCACCACCCCCCCTCCGGGAGCCCTGAGACAAAAGCAGCCGTACCCCTCCATCCATCCGGGGACTCTCTCAGCGGTTCTTCCTGCAGCTGGTTCGCTGTGGTCTGGGTCCGTGCAGCGGAGCGTCTGTGCTGGGTACCGTCTGTCCCCCGCCTCCTCTTCTATGCGACCCTCCGCGAGCCCCGCCGCCATCAGCGCCAGCGGCACGTGAAGCTCCCCTCGCGCAGCGCCTCCTGGAACCACTTCCGCCGCGTTGTCTGGGAGACCTTCAAAATAAAAGCAGAGAGCTAAATCAGAAAACTTACAGTTGATCTGGACAGACTTTAAATCTAAAAAGAAA